CAGGGCCCAGGAGGGCAGAGCCAGCCAGAATAACAGGAAGGAGTGCTTCCCGCTCTGGATGAAAGGGTCCCTCACAGCCCACAGAAGTACCTGGAAATGTACCCCTCCCACACAAAGGCCACCCACCTTCCCACCCTGTGGCTTCTCCACCTCTCCAGCTGAAGCTGTGACATCACTCCATTCATAAAGGTCCCCAGAGGGCTGACTTTACAGTCAGGAAAAACAGGGACCTGCTTTGACAGACTCAACACAAACAGAGGCAAATGCAAGCACTTCTGCCTAAGCCACCATTGCCTGGTGGTGGTATCCATTTCCCATTTTTTTTGTTGTTATTGTTGGTCATGGGGCTTGAATTCAGGGCCTAGGAGCTGTCCCTGAGGTTTTTCCCTCAAGGCTAGCTAAACTCCACCACGTTAAACCACAGCACCACTTCTGGTTTTCTGGTAGTTAATTGGAGAACAGAGAGTCTCAGGGACTTCCTTGCCCCAGCTGGTTTTGAACTGTGATCCTCAGATCTCAGCCACTTGAGTAGCTAGGATTACAGGCATGAGCCACCAGCATCTGGCTGAGGCATCCATTCTCATGACAGCCTCTAGGGGTAAGCACTAGTGATTCTAGTATATCAGAAAACCAGGGAGTTTACAAACCAGGAACCTGAGACTAGGCAATTTCTCAGGCTTAGAAAATAATCACATCCTATTTCAGAAGATTGCTTTTTGGCCAATTAAACCAACACTCTAAATGGAGCTTCTTAGAAGAGGAGCACATACTGATTGTCTTCTATTCTGAGGGTTCCTTTCCCAAAGCAATAAGTCATAGGAGCCAAGAACCGCTTAGACCATTGTGCTACATTTACAATCCAGCCTTCAAACATGAAGGTATTATAGTGTTTCTCAACCTTAGGGGCTGGATAATTCTTTGTCATGGATTCTGTCTTGTGTTTAGTGGAAGTTTAGGTGAGTCGGTGGCTTCTACCAACTAACTAGAAGACAGTAGCACATCTCAGACCTTGACAACCAATCATAGTTCCAGGCATTACCAGAGTCTCTGTTGAGAATCTCACTGGCCCTCATCATTTCCCTTTTCCTACCCTTCCTAAGTTTACTATACCGAAGAAGGGACAAAATTGCTTTTTTTTGGGGGGGGGGAGAGGTGTCTAACTAAATTGTGGCTCAGGCAGGAAGACTTGGAGGGTTGGATTGAGAATATGGATGGGGCTCCATATGGGATGAGACTTGCTTCTCTAACATAGAGAGTTAAAGGGAACTATGCTCTGTCCTCAACCACATCTAGCTTGGGCTCGAGAATAGGAGGCTTGCTTGCTAGTGTCTCTAGCGCCCACATTGAAGGTTTTAAGTTGCAGACAACATTCTCTGTTTGTAAGATAGCCTAGATAAATATTGAAAGTTTACCTAAGAGGTTTACTAAACTTGAACTGTCACCAATCCATGTTATTGATGTGCCCCTCTTGATCAGATGAGTTGTTCAATGTGTCTCTGCTTATTCTGTGGTACTGAAGTTTGCCTTAATAGTTTCAGGGGTAGAGAAATTGAGGTCCAGTGAAAGTGCTGGAATAAGAACTTCAGGCTCTCACATCACCCAACCTTCTGCTTTTACCCAAGCAGCTTGGAAACTGATAGTCAAAAGCATCTCACATGTGGATAGTGTTTCTCAGAAATGGTTGTTGGTAGAGGACCGTGTGGTTTCTTTCCTTTTGGAAACCGTTCACAGTGCATGAAAACATCTGGTGTACCTCATTGAGGATGGTGGCTGTTAGCTGAATATTGATTGATTTTGATTGAGGGGTTTTTGTTGTTTGGTTTTCTCTGTACCATTCCTGGGGCTTGAATTTTTGTCCAAGGCTAGTGTTCTACCACTTGAGCCACAGTTCCACTTCTGGCTTATTGGTGGTTAATTAGAGATCAGAGTCTCATAGACTTTCCTGCCTGAGCTGGCTTCTGAGATCCTCAGATCTCAGCCTCCTGAGTAGCTAGGATTATAGGTGAGTCACTGGCTCCTGGCTTTTGGTTGAGTGTTTATTTTTAACCATCTATGACTTCCAGATACCCTGTCCAGGATAATATCCTACTATACCTGCAACTTAGACACTTAATATTTTTTGTCTGATAAGTACATACTTTTGTAACATTCTTCTCTTAATTTTAATTAATTTGTTTCCTTTAAATTATGAATGCTTGTTGGAAGTGGCGCTGTGGCTCAAGTGGTAGAGAGCTCGCCTTGAGCTGAAGAGCTGAGGGACAGCGCCCAGGCCCAGCATTCAAGCCCCATGACCCCCCCAAAAATGTTATGAATGCTTAATTTGATTATAACTAAAGATAACTAACATACACTGGCTTTAAATTGTCTTTTCCAAGTCAGTGACACATTTTCCCTGAGGTCACACCATGACTGTGTATATTTTAACAAAGCTCTACAATATTATCTTGAAGAAAAGTGGAGTGTAATTTTGCTGACTTTAGGTGATAACCTCTCAGAAGCAGGGATAAGTCCCTAGTAACTTTTCCAGCCCTGACCATGACTTTGAACTCTGAGTTCCTGGGCAGTTTTTTAGTAAACAAGTCCAAAGTGACTCTTTTGTTTTCCTTTTTGTAGTTCCCGTGTTTGAACCCAGTACCTCAGGCTAGTGTTCAGTCACTGAAGCTACATCTCCAGTCCTTTTTGCTTCTAGTTATTTTTCAGATAGGATCTCACATTTTTGTCACGATTCATCATGGACTTTAATCTCCGAAGTAGCTAAGATTGCATATATCAACTACTATGCTTAGCTCACTGGTTCAGATAGAGTCTTACTAACTCAAACTGTGATCCTCCTGATCTCTGCTTCTTCAGTAGTCAGGATTATAGACATGAACCACTATACCTAGTCTAATTGATTTCTTGCCTTGTATTTCTTTTTATTTTTAACATACTTCTGATATAAATTGTGGTATAAACCTTTTTCTGCTTTCAATTTGGGGAAATGGTGAATGGTAATTGCATAAAAACAGAAATCTTTTTTTTTTCTTTTTTTTTTGTTGGTCCTGGGGCTTGAACTCTGGGCATGGGTGCTGTCCCTCAGCTCTTCAGCTCAAGGCTAGCACTCTACCACCTGAGCCACAGAGCCAGTTTTCTGAGTGGTTTATTAGAGATAAGAGTCTCTCGGACTTTCCTGCCTGGGCTGGCTTTGAACCGATCCTCAGATCTCAGCCTCCTGAGTAGCTAGGATTAAAGGCTTGAGCCACCAGTGCCTGGCTCAGAAATCATTTTTGAAAAGATGAAAAATGTATTTCAGAAAAGCCCAGGGAGAAAGGTGCACTAAGGTTCCCTAACATAAGCTCCTCCTATGACTATGCTACAGCTTTTGAGCAATTACTTTTCAACATGACAGGAAAGAGTCTCAAAGTATTCAGATCTTTTCATATGCAATTAGAATGAGAAATTATGGCTAACTTAAAGTTCCAATGTTAAAAATTCCACAGGATCTCAGGTAAGACACAGGCAGAGACTAGTTAAACAGCTCTGATGGATTGATGCCTATTTGGGCAGAATTAACAATGAACTTATCTACCCATTTCCAGACTAAGTTTACATATTCAACACTTTTTTGACAACTACATTTGCAGAAACACATACAGAATTTAGAAGTAGCTAACCACACAGCTGGAAATATTAAAGTTTCATTTAACATGGAAATTGATCCATTCTGGAATCTCTCCTGTAAAGTGGCTTTTTTTAACTTTGCCAATACCAGAGTTTGAACTCAAAGCCTTGTGCTTGTTCAGGTGGCCCTCTACCACCTGAGTCATGTCTCCAGCTCTGCTTTGTGCTGGTTGTTTTGATGATGGAGTCTCTAGGATTTTATTGCCTAGACTGGGTTTGAATCATTATCCTCCAGATCCCAGCCTCCTGATTATCTAGAATTACAGGCACGAGCCACCTGCACCCAGCTGTCCCATAGCAATTTTTAAGCAAGTCTAGTGATCACCATATAGCTTTGAGAGGGGTCTTCTTTAAGGCAGGAAAAAAGTTTATCAAGTTCTATCTTTTTAAGTTCCTTTGGCCTTCCTTAACCAAAGATTGATGACATTTTTCATGTAAACTTATTTTCTTTCTTTCTTATTTATTTATTTATTTTTTGTTGGCTGTGTGGCTTGAACTCTGGGCTTGGGCATTGTCCCTCAGCTCTTCAGCTCAAGGCCTGCACTCTACCATTTGAGCCACAGCGCCACTTCTGGTTTTCTGAGTAGTTTATTGGAGATAACAGTCTTATGGACTTTCCTGCCAGAGCTGGCTTTGAACTGCAATCCTCAGATCTCAGCCTCCTGAGTAGCTAGGATTACAGGCGCCCGGCATAAACTTATTTTCACATTTCTTCTTTTTCCAGTTTCAAATCCTCTGATTAGAAAACTTGTACTGGATGCCCATGGTTTATGCCTGTAATCCTAGCTACTCAAGAGGGTTAGATCTGAGGATCATGGTTCGAAGCCAGTCTGGGCAGGAGATCCTTGAGACTCATCTCCTATTAACTAGCAAAAAGGGGTAGTGGATATGTAGATCAAATGTTAGGGGGCCAGTTGTGAATGTTAAGAACTAAGCAAGAGTGTAAAGCCTTTGGCTTAAGCTTCAGTACCAACACGTACACACACAAAGAAAACTTGTATTATTTATCTCTCATGTCTAAGTTAAATCATACTAATAAATATGTCTAAGGTACATGTGGAAAACTGACACCAAGTGATCTGAGAACTGTGAAAAATCATTGGGCTTCCCACTGGGAGCCACAGGTACAAATAAAACTTTTTCAGCAGATGTAGGGATTTCTGTATTAATACTGAATAGAAGAGTAATAATGTCACGAAAGACTGAAAATGGCCCCCAGTGTTGGTGGTATTCTGGTTCCTGGCTACTACTCTCTGTGTATCCTGGGTCATGGAAGAGATGCAGAAGGGAGCAGAGGGATGGGGGGGGGGGGCAGAGTCAAGGAAGGGACCACCACTCACCGCCATCGCAGGACGAGGTGCTGAGTAAGGCACAGGGCTCCCCATGGCAGAATCCACAGTGTAGCTCATTCTGCTCTTAGCACCTGTGTGGAAAAAAGTATTGGCTGAGCCTCTCACTGCCCATGGCGGTGGGAATCTGAACCATCTCAACCCCCACCTCCACCAAAGTGTCTGTGACCCTTAGACCTAGGAGTCTCCCTAGGAGTCATTTGATTCACGTCTCTATGAGGAGACTGAGATTGAGAGAGACAGAGTCAGAGAGACCTCACATAGAGCCAGACTTTGGACAGCCTGGTAGCCTGGCTGTGTGGACATCAGACAATATGGGTTGAGAGGGTCTACAAAGGGTAAAGGAATCTAGGCAGAGACCAGAGTCTTATGAATCTTTTAAAATAAGTTCTAGAGCCCTAGTTGGGTGAGGTGGCTCAAAGCGTGTGATTTCTAGCTACCTAGGGGGTATAGAGATTGGGTGATCGTAATTAGAGGCCAACCTAAGCCTGCCCCTCATCTAAAACCCCACAAGACTCCACCTGTACTGGGTGGAGATCAAAAGCCTGCTATCCCCAGCAAGATGGGGAATACATGCAGAAAGCACAGACCAAGCCTGCTGTGACCTCAAAAACGAAATGTCAAAAGGAAGTCTGGTGTTGGTGGCTTATGCTTACAATCCTAGTTACTCAGAAGGCTAAGATCTGAGGGTAGCAGCTCAAAAAATCAGCCCCAGTAGGAAAGTCCTTGAGACTCTGACCTACAACTAACCACCGGAAAACCAGAAGTGGAACTGTGGCTCAAACTGGTAGAGTGCTAACCTTGAACCAAAAAGCTCAGGGACAGTGTCTAGGCCCTGAGTTCAAGTACTATAGCTGACTGAAAAAAAAAAGCCAAAAGGGATTTGAAGGTGTAGCTCAAATGCTAAAGCACCTGCTTAGCAGGAGTAAGGCCTTGAGTAGATCAATTCCCAGTGCCATCAAAAAGGAAAAAACAAAAAAGAGAAAGAGAAAACAGATTTCCTTCCCTCTCTTGCTTCTCCCCCCACTCCCAATCAAAACTGGTACATAATAAGGATTTAATACATATAATTGAGCTGTAAATTAATTGATAAAGGGATAAATAGAGAAAGCATTAGAGAGAATAAAAAAAGCCACCCACCCCAGTGAAGCATGTCAAAAACAAAGCTGGATTCTGGTGGCTCACACCTGCAATCATGCTCAGGAAACTGAGATCTGAGGGTCCTGGTTCAAAGCCACCCTGGGCAGGAAAATGTGGCTCAAAGTGGTAGAGTGCTAGCCTTGAACAAAAGGATCTTGGGGACAGTACCCAGGCCCCGAGTTCAAGCCCCATGACCAACCAAAATAAATAGTACCTCCAAAGACAGATAGAGTCCCTGCATAATGGACCAACCACATTCATCCCAAAAGTAAGAGGAGAACTGCTAAATAATTCCCCATGAGAATGTTTGAGAATGTCTTAGAAGGACTGATTTTCAGCTAGCTGCCTTTCAGAAAGAAATCCTTTGTATCTCAAACCTAACTGATCTCTGGAGTAAATTAATTCACACATTCCCCATCCCCCACCCAACCTCAGGGCCTGTGCCCTCATTAGCCTTGTTATTTTACAGCTAGTATTCTATCACTTGACCCATACCTCCAGTCCTGCTTTTTTGCTAGTTAATTGGAGGTGAAGTCTCTCAGGCTTTTCTGCCTGGGCTAGCTTCGAACTGTAATTGTCTGGAGTTCTGCCTCCTGAGTCACTAGGATAATAGTCGAGTGGAGCCTAGTTAGTTCACTGTCATATAAATTCAAGCCCCAGTTCCAACACACACAAAAATTTACTGTGTACCTACTATGTGCTGAGGTACTATTTGGGACTTTGGAGACACACTAGTAAACAAGCAAAGTCTCCTGACCTTGTGGCCTTCTACCAGACTTAGGGTAGTAAACCTGAGAAAGACAGTGAAGAGAGAGACTCTCATGTAAGTAACATGATGTGATGAATAATTTGCCAGGAATATGGAAAGCAGAAGCAGCAGACAGTTCTGCCCAGTGCAAGGAATGGGAAATCATGGAAGATTACAGAGGGGGGTGGGGGGAGAGGGCGGGAGGAGGAGGTGTGACCACCAGAGTCCCCAGAGAATCATCCCAGACTCCCACAAGCAGCAAAGGACCTTTGCCCTTCTGGATGCCTCTTTGACTTACACATTGCAAAAGAAAGAACTTTGGGAATTGGCAATAACAGACCTCCTTGCAGCCCAGCTCAAAGACACCAAGGGTTTCTGTCTGCCTGCCAGACAACACTCTCCCTCCAAGCAACAGACTTGTGGGGGGGGTGGGGGCGGTGGGGGAAGGTTGGGTAGAAGCATGTTTTCTGTTCCATTGACAGAGGGGGGGGGGGAACCTCTGGCTGAACATCTGGTGCACTGTGTGCTGGACCACATTCTCGAGTCCATGAATGACGCTTCTCTGGGGGGAAAAGCCCTTTGCCCGGGGAAGGAAACAGAAAAGAGGGAGTTGCCAGGACTCTCCAGGGCTCTCATCTCAGGAAATAAAGCTGGGACAGAAATGGATTGCTACTTTAATTTTTTTTGGAGAAAGAAAAAAAGAACCTGTCTTCTTCCCCCCACCCCTCTTCCCCTCAACTTGTAGATTGTGACACTGAACAGCTGCAAATGCTCTGAACTCTTTCAGAAGATACAGAAGGCATATTGGGGGGTTGTTTTGGTGTGTGTGTGTGTGTGTGTGTGTGTGTGTGTGTGTGTGTGTGTGTGTGTGTGTGTGTGTGTGTGTGTGTGTGTGTGCCAGAGGGGAGGGAAAGCGGGGAGGTTCCACCCACCCCTTCCTTGTCTCTTTGGCCAGAGAGAATTCCCTCCCACATAACCACTGCTTGAACATCAGCTGGACTTGAACATTTTGTCTTGGCATTGCACATGCGCATTACCCAAATAGAAAACAACTGTGAGATTTTCAAGATTTACTCCCCAGCCAGGAAGCAGCTGTGAGACCTGTCTTGGTGCAGAAATGAACTGAGTACTTGATAACAGAGGCTCATGATGAGCCAACTTCATTTTTTTTCTTCTTCAATGGAACCAGAGCATTGCTCAAGCAATGAAGTGTGTGGATCCAATAAGAAACAGCCAAGCTCACCCATTCAGCTTTCCACACTCCAACCCCCCCAGCCCATACCTCTGGACCCAGCATGCAGCCTTCCCCCCAGCCCTTCCTCCCTGGGCCTCACCATGGAACTCAAGTTCTGGAGGGACCCGTTCTCTCCCCTAAAACTTCCCTACTCTTCTCAGGTTGTATGAAGGTTAGCCATGACCCTCTACTTTACCACACTTCTGAACTAGTGGACCCTTCTTCTTCAAGATTTTAGCAATTGCTCAGTTTCTCCTGCCTGCCCCTTGCGGAGCCACCCTTTGCTCCAACCAAGGAAAGCTGCCCCTTTCTTAAATTCTTCAGTGGTGTATTTTGTACTTATCACACTGTTCTGCACACATCTGCTTCTAGTTGTCTCTCCCACTAGATCCTGAACTTTTATGAATGTAGCCACACCTCCTTTTTCACATTGCATAACGGAACTCACTGTGTGTAAATCTGTGGATGGATGGATGGATGAATAACTGGATGGATAACTGGATGGATGAATGAATGAATTGCTCTCACAAGACTAAACGCAAATGAACTAGGTCAGAGGTGAAGACATTCATTTCTCAGATCACAGAATCTTAATAGGTGACAGGTCTGGATAAAAACCACTTCAAAAAATGAGTTTGTTTCATAGCAATGTGTACATGAAAACTGTTTCCTTCTTTGCTATTTAAGGTCACCTTATCTTTTCCCACAGCCCTGAACAAGAAGCCACACCCTATTCTCCATCTATTGTCTCCCCTAGTGCTACCCTAGTAGAACTTAAGCTCTAGAGCAGATTTTGCTCATTCCTTTCACACCATATCTCTGATCTAGAGCAATGTTGGTGGGTCTAAACCAGATAATAACTGTTGACTAACCAAGCCTAAGTTAGAAAACTGACACAGACCCTTTAACTCATGAATGTTGTCTTTCTTTCCACGAGGAAGAACTGGCCCAATTGAGCCCTGATTCTGAGTCTTAGGCTCCACCTTCACTATGCTTAAATATAGGGACCAAAACATGATCAGTAAATGAAGGGGACAAAAGGGTAATAACCCTTCTAGACCGATCTCTTTCCATTTGACTCTGCAGGGCTCTGTTCTTTACAAAGCATATGCCATTTCTCCAATGGACCACCCTTCCCAAGTCTTGTAACCCAGTAGGGATCTGTATGCCTAGAGCTTCCTTTTACCCAAGTCTTCCCAGGACAAGTTGAGGGACAAAGTGAAATGAAGGTTAGGGAACAAGAGGGACATTGGGGTCAAGACAGCAGGAGAATAGGAAATCCCAAAGAGACAAGGTTTTAGTCATGGCAGGCTCCCATTCCCATCCACTCTGGCCAACTTGGCTGTATATCCCTGTGACTGTGGCATCAGTTAAGGGATGTTCATTTTGGGTATCTGTTCTTAAAGAAAAGGTTAAGACTTTAAACTATAATTTAAATTTTTTCTCCTATGTACCCTGCAGGGCATATGCCTGTAATCTCATCGCTAAGGAGGCCAAGGCATGAGGACCAAGAATTAGAGGTCAGCCTAGTCTACATATCAAGATCCTGCTGCAAAAAAAAATCTTTTCAAATTAATTGCTTTTAAGCTGGACAAGGGCGGCCCATGCCTCTCATGTTAGCTACTCAGGAAGCTGTGATCTAAGGATTGAGCACCTACCAGCCAGGGGAAGAAAGGCCTAAGAGATTCTTATCTCCAATTAACCAGTAAAAAGCTGGACTGGAAGTGAAGATGTGGCTCAAGTGGTAAAGGCCCAGCCTTGAAGGAAAAAGCCAAGCAAGAACCAAGAGACTCTGAGTTCAAGTCCCATTACACACACACGCACACACGCACACACGCACACACACACACACACACACACACACACACACACACACACACCAAAACCCAAAACAATATATTGGTATTGATAAAACAATGTTTTGTATCTCAAAACATATTACTTTTAAAATA